TAATCACATAATTCCTTTTTGCCTCTCCTTTTGGAATTGTTTCTCTTTGTTTCTTCAGAATTTCAGTTTTGAGAATTTCCCACTGTGTCTGAGCTGATAGCTTTTGTAGAATTTTATTCCATGGAATCTTATCTGTGGATCTGAACTCAATTAGTATTTTGTTCTACATATTCTGTGTACAGCTCTGTGATCTTTAAGGAGATTATGTTTCTGAATATTGAAGACTACTTTTTTTGTACCTTTTATAAAGGACACAGAAGAGGTACTCAAAATTGTTAAATTGAATTATTTTGTTGTGTTGCTCATTTAGAAAGGATTCTCTAATATTAGGACATTTGGAATCATAGAATTTTTGAGTTCGGAGGGATTTTAAAGATCATTGATCTAAATGCTCTTATCATAGAGCTGAAGGAACTGAGACCCAAGGTGGTGAACATAGCTTGCCTCAACTCACACAGCTAGCTTGTGGAATATTTGGTGCTAGAAACCAGATTTACTGTTCTAATTGAGAGACCATACTCTCATAGGAGAAGAGAATTATTGAAGAATTTGTAGACTGCTGGGCTTTTTTGTTTAAAAATATTATTTCAATCAGAAAGATAGTTTTCTTTTTTATAATATTAATTTACAATAATAAAAAATGTAATTTTGTATAATAGTGCAGAAAATCTTAGATTCTTTTTCTTTTCTTTTCTTTTTTTTTTTTTTAGCAGTCTATCCAGCATAATCTCCCAGGGTACTCTTCTGGCCACTCATGACTAAAGAGATGCTGTAGCTTGAAAAGTTTTTACACTAGATTTTGCCATATTTTGTGTAAGACATTTGATATATCTGTTTCTGAAAGCTTTACTGATTGATTCACTTGAACAAGTAGAAAATAATTTCCTTAAAAACCATTGTGACTCAAATCTTCATCTCTATAGCTTGAATATAGATCTTGAAAAGTTATTTTGTGTGTTACTTGTCTAGATATCTGATACTGCCTAGTATTTTTTTGTTTTATTGATTTCTTTTTTTTTAAATCTCACAATCATTTTCTAATGTACCTTTTCTGTTCTCTAGCCTTTTCTTGTGTGTGTGACAAAGACAAAAGTTAAGAACTTGAGGTAATAGTGATCATGGCTGGTAGCAGTAGTGTCAAACTTAAATAAAAATGAATCCTGGTGTCCTACATATTCACTTAGAAAACCACAAATTAACATATTATCTAAATTATATTGTATTTTTATTTTGTTAAACATTTCCTAGTTACATATTTAAAAAAAACAAATTTATTCATTTATTTTTAGTTTTCAACATTTACTCTTGTAAGATTTTGAGTTCCAAATTTTCTCCCCCTCCCTCCCTTAACCCCACTCCATTACGGCATGCAATCTGATATAGGCTCAACATATACATTCATATTAAACCTATTTTCACATTAGTCATGTTGTAAAGAAGAATTAGAACCAATGGGAGAAACCATGAGAAAGAAGAAAAAAAAAGAGAGAGAGAGCAAATAGTATGTTTTGATCTGCATTCAGACTCAATAGTTCTTTTTCTGGATGTGGACAACATTTTCCATCTTGAATCTTTTGGAGTTGTCTTAGATCCTTGCATTGCTAAGAAGAGCTAAGTCACAAGAAAATGTTATGGAGGACAAGATTCCGTAACTGCTTGTCTATATGATGGAGAAAAGGAGTAAGACATCCAGGGTGACACCAGGGTTGGGAACCTGGGAACTTGTTTGATTGGAAGGTTTGTATAGTCTTAATAGAAACAGAGAAGTTTGGAAGGGGCAAATATTTTGGGTACGAGATAATGAGTTCTGTTTTTGACAAGTTGAGGTTGAGATGCCTTTGGGACATCTAGTTCAGAAAATCTAATGGGCAATAGGTGATGGGACTGGAGCTCAGGGAAGAGACTAGGATTGGATATATAGATTTGCATCTAGATAATTTTGCCTAAGGGACTGGTGAAGTCACCAAATGAGAGAATGTAGAGCAGAGGTTCTAAAACTTTTTTTGTGCCATAAATGCCTTTGTCAATCTGCTGAAATCTATAGACCTCTCCTCAGATATTTTAAATCAATTGAAGGAAACTTCAGTTAGAAGTTATTGAAAATAAAGATAAGATTCCCCCCTCTTATCCAGGTTTATGGATCCCCACTACCATCTGCGCTTAAATGCATCCAAGAACTGTTGGAAGTCTGTGGACCCCGAGTTAAGAATTCTTGGTCTAGAGGCATGATATTACATTGATCTTGAGGAAAGAAGGTTTGGAACAGCCATTATGAGGAGTGTGACAGAGAGTTAACCAGCGAAGAATAAATTGATTATTCAGCTGCAATGAGTTGCCCAGCTGAGAATTCGATAATGTAAATTTATATTGAACTTGTTCGTCTGTGTTGTATGACTTCTATCATCATTATTCTCTGTTGTGTAACTTTCATCATCATTTTTCAACTGGAGAATGAAGATGGTGGGTAACTCCAGATTGGTATTTGGCAAGGTCTAATTCAATCCAATAAACATTTATTAAGCACCTACCATGTGCCAAGCACTGTGCTAAGATCTGGGGATACAATTAGTAAAAAGAAAGATAGTTTCTGCCCTCAAGGAGCTTACCATTTAATGGAGGAGACTACACACAAAGAAATAGGAGAGGGGAGAGGGGAACCAGGAGGTACCTTGTGTGAGGGTATCTTGTTCTATGGAGTTGAAGCCAGGCAGAGCAGCAGATGCAGAGTGAAGTGAACCAAAAGTCCAGTTTCTGCCCTCTATAAAGAAAGGTATTGGGAGGTGTTTGGTACTCCACACTCCAGGCCTCCAATTAGAGGAGGAGAGGAGACTGAAGGAGGTGTTGGCAGTCAAGGTTTGAGTTAGAAATGTGGCATGAGATTAGAGGTGACTAATTTAACCTGGAAGGAGTGGCTTGTTCCATGGAATTGAAACCAGGTAGGGCAGCAGGTGCAGAATGGAGTCTTAAGTGTTAATAGGGCAAAGGAGTAAAGGACTTGGGGATAAAGGTAGAGTTGAATTGGTTATAAGGACAACACAGAGGAGAGGAAAGGGAGGCTAGGGCAAGAGTGAAAGAATGAAGGGGGGCAACTAGGTGGTACAGTGGATAGAGCTCCAGCCTTGGAGTTAGGAGGCCCTGAGTTCAAATCCAACCTCAGACATTTAAGACTTAATAGCTGTGTGACCCTGGGTAAGTTGCTTAATCCCGATTGCCTCACCAAAAAGCAAAAAAATAAAAAAATAAAAAGAATGAAGGACAGGGATTGGTGAAATGACTGGAGGTTATGGTGAAAACAAATCAGTTTAGGAAGAGGGAAGCAGAGAGGGAGGTGGACGGTTAGGAAGTCGATCAGCAAGATGAATTTCAGCATTCTCGATCATGGTGGTAGGGTAGTTATGAGTGACAATGAGGTAAAAGGTTATGATTATCCCACCATGTTACCGAGGTGGTAGAGTTGGTTAATTCCGAAACCAAGAAGAGAGAGGAGATCAAGGCAGGTTTTAGGGTTTGATAAATATTTGATCACCTAAACCTCATGACTATAAATGAACACATATTTGGTACTAGTTTCTTTGCCCAATCTCACAATAGCAGGGGATGATGCAGAGTCCAAAGACACTGCATGTAAAATATACACTTTGCTCTAGGTTCATCCTAGTGTCTGAAGTTCTTTTCCTAGAAGCAGTCAAATCATTGGGCAGCTGGGTGGCACAGTATATAGAGCATTGGGCTTGGAGTCAGGAAGACTGATCTTCATGAGTTCAAACCTAGCCTCAGACACTTACAAGCTGTGTGACCCTGGGCAAGTCACTTAACCCAGTTTACCTCAGTTCCTCATCTGTGAAATGAACCGGAGACAGAAATGGCAAACCATTCCAGTATTTTTGCTAAGAAAACTCCAGTTGATATCATGAAGAGTTGGACATGATTGAAACGACTAAACAACGACAAAGTCAAGCCTTTAAGAGGCTCAGCACTTGACATTTGGGTTCTGGAATGGGTGATACTTTGATTATGGAAGATAGAAATAGATTTACCTATACAATAGGATTCTGGAGGGAGACTTCCAAATGGAATCATTGAATGTTCGTTGTTTTGGAAGATTGTAGTCTCACTGTGGTGACAAGGGGTAGAGTAGATGAAATCCTGTTACTGAGAGGTGCTGAAGTTAAAGCCTTAATTTTCCAGGATTGGTGATGGAGAAGGGAGGAACAGGTTCTAGAGCAGAAGCCTTGGTGTTAATGGCTAACCTTATGTTCTTGGGTACTTAATGGTGAAGGATGATATACAATGCTGATGTAATGACACAGAAAAGAGTACTTGCATCTTTAAGCAAGGCAGTAGAGGTTCTCACCTTCCTGAGTGGTTCTTGGGAATGTAGGGCTACAAAATTTTTGCAGTGAAGTTAGCAAAGAGTTTAGCTCTGGAAACAAAATATCCCAAAGCAACGAATTTCACATGTATGTGTTTGTGTGAGGGGTTGGGGGTAGGGGTGAGGTGGGATGGTGTTCAAACTCAAATTTCTGAGTGAGGGCTAAGGCTGGGAAACTCTGACCAGTTGCTTCCAGCACCAGCACTTTCTCTGGCTTACTGTCTCTCGCCTTGGCCATAGCCCAGACAAATGTGCTTATATAAAGGAAGACTGAAGAAATGAAGAAAATTATGAAATTAAATGTTGGATGCTTTTTTCACTTTATTTTTCTTGCCTTTTTTTGCAACTTGACTAATATAGAAATATGTTTTGAAATAAAATACTTCACATGCATAGTTGATATATTGCTTGCTTTCTCAATGGATTGGGGACAGACTGGAGCAGGGAAGGGACTGGGAGAGAGGGAGAGAATTTGGAATTCAAAATTTTGAAAAAGAAGTGTTTAAATAAAGTATAATTATTTTAAGAATGCTGGAATGTTTAGAAATATTCAAGTTGATAATGTATAGAGAAGTTTAATGTTTGTCATAGTCTTGTCTAATGGCATCTTTCTCTTGTACTTTTGTAGAAGAGATTGAAGAAGAATCTGAAACTTCAATAGATGCTGATTTGACAGATAAACAGAAACATCAATTGAAACATAGAGAACTATTTTTGTCACGTCAATATGAATCTCTTCCTGCGACACATATCAGGTAAGACTTTTGTGGAAATTATTTTGAGATAGTAATAATGTCACAAAATGTCTGCTGTGTTGTCTAAGAAAGTCATAGAATCCTAGAACCCATTAGCAGAGAGGTTCTTTGAAAAGTCCTTTGGTCCATTCCCCTGTTTTCATATAGTTGAGTGCCTAAACTATTCATGGCAGATGGTTATTCTCTTTGAGTATCTCAAGAATAACCTTCATCCTTTAAATCCTTATTTTCAACTTAATAAACACCAAATAAAATGGGCATTTCTGTATACTGAGAACAGAACAAGAAGATTGTACATAAACCTGCAGATCTCTATTATGTACGGCCTAATTTTCTTTTAAAATATAAAATAGATTCAAATAGTATTTTTCAAAGCACCACTGCTTATTGGTAATTTTCATTTTTTGTTCTCTTCTGTGTAGTTATTTAAAATTTTTTTAGAATTAAATTTTTTTCTACTAACAAAAATTTACCTTCTGCCCCTCCCACTTCCTCTTCCCCCCATTAAAAAAGAAAGAAAAGCAAAATCATTGGAATATGCATAGTCAAGTCAAATTCCTTCACTACCCGTGTTTTTGTTGTTGTTCAGTCATTTTCAGTCATGTCTGACTCATCATGACCCCATTTGGGATTTTCTAGGCAAAGATTCTGGAGTGGTTTGCCATTTCCTTCTCCCACCCATTTTACAGATGAGGAAACTGAGGCAAACTGGCTTAAATGATTTGCCCAGGGTCCCACAGCTAGTAAGTGTCTGAGGCCAGATTTGAACTCAGGTCTTCCTGACTCCAGGCCAGGCCCTCTATCTATGGTGCCACTTAGCTGCTTCAGAATATGAGTTATTGCTGTTGTTCAATTGTGTCTGACTCTTTGTGACTTCATTTGGGGTTTTCTTGGCAAAGATACTGTTATTTAGACTCCCAAATATTTTATATAATATGTGGTTATTTTGAATAGAATTCATTTTTTTTTCATGTTGAATTTTTTTGTGTGATGGTTTGGCATTTCCTTCTCTTGTTCATTTTTAAAGACGAGGAAACTGAGGCAAACAGAGTTAGGTGACTTATCCAGAATCTCACAGCTAATAATGGTCTGAGGCCATATCTGAACTCAGGTCTTCCTGATTCCAGGCCAGGCACTTTATCTACTGGGCTACCTAGCTGCCCCATTTCTCATGTAAACCCCCTACCAGAAATATATCTCAATCTTTACCCCAAGCCTCTGTCACCCCTTTGTCAGGGGATGAGTAGCATGTTTCACCTTTGGGAGCTTATTAATGTCTTGTTCAACTTTTTTTCCCCCTGAGATTAGATTAAGGTCCCTTGTTCTTGTGCTTTTACTCTGGGTATTTTATATTTTTAAAAATATTTGTCCATTTCATTTGGAATGTCAATTTTATTAGCATATGATTGGGCAAAATAATTTCTAACTTCATTTGTTATAATTTTACTTTTTAGATATATGATAGTGGTAATTTGTTTTTTATCTCTTTTAAAAATAAAATTAGCAGATGGTTTTTTTTTTAAACCAGCTCCTAGTTTTAGTTATCAATTTAGTTTTTTTTAAAACTTTTAGTTTTTTAATGTCTTTGGATTTCAGGATTTCTAATTTGGTGTTTAGGATATTTTAACTTGTTGGTTTTTCTAGGCTTTTTTAGTTGTATACCCAATTCGTTGATCTGTTCTTGTATTTTTTTTTTTAATGAAGGTATTTAAAGATATGTTTTTTCTCATAAGAACTCATTTGGCTGAGTCCCCCAAAGTTTGAATGTTGTCTCATTAGTGTAGAGGAAGCTAGTACAGTGGATAAGAATGATGAAACTGGAATCGGTAGACCTGAGTTCAAATTTAGCCTCAGATGCTTATTACTTGTGACCTCGGGCAAATCACTGAACCTCTGTTTGTCTCAGTTTTCTCAACTATAAAATGGGGATAATAGTACCAACCTCAAAGGATTATTGTGAGGATCTGATGAGATAATATTTGTAAAGTTCTTAGTACGGTGCCTGGCACATAGTAGGTGCTATGTAAATGCTCCAGCTTTCCTCTTTTCTTCCCTCCCTCCCTCCTTTCCTCCCTGTTCTCATCTCTTCTTCTCTCCCTCCCTCCATCCTTCTTCTTCTCCTTTACTTTCCCTTCCCCTCCCCTCCCTCTCTGTTTCTGTAAAGGGTATTTTGTAGTTGAATTTATATAGTTTCTATGTGTGATCTGCTATTTAGACTCCCAAATATTTTCATAGTATGTGGTTATTTTGAATAGAATTCATTTTTTATGTTGAATTTTTTTGTGTAATATATAGATATTGGTAATTTATTTAGATTATATTGTGAACTTTGCTGATATTAATATTTTAATTACTTTATAGTTGATTCTCTAAGGTTCTCTCAGTAAACCATTATGTTATCTGTAAAAAGTGATTATTTTGTTTCTTCTATGACTATCCCTATTCCCTCCATTTCTTTTTCTTTTCATATTGCTATAGCTACCATTTCTAGTGCTATGTTAAATAATGCTAGGGTAATGAACATCCTTATTTTAATTACCCACTCCTGATTTTATAAAAAAAAGGTTCCTAGTTTGTCTCCATTATGTATGATGCTGGCTGTTATAGTTATATATTATATAACATTAAACAAAAGTCCATTTATTTCTATGCTGTTTAGTGCTTTTTGTGTATATGGACACTGAATTTTGTCAAAAGACTTTCTGACTCTATTGATAAAATGATGTGACTTTTTTTTGGTTATCAGTGTGGTCAGTATTATTTATAGGTTTCCTAATATTGAACCAACCCTGCTTTCCTGGATCAAATCCTTCTTAGTTGTAGTGTATAACCCTTCTGATATACCATTTGTGCTAATATTTTATTGAAAATTTTTTGTCATTCATTAGGACTATTCATTTGGTCTGTAGTGTTCTTTCTGTTTTGTGTCTTCCTAGTATGTGTGTCAATATATCTTCTTTTCCTATTTTACAGACATTTTGCATAATATTGGAATTGGAGTAATAGATATTAACACTATAATAACAACCCTGTATGTGTGCTATAGCATAATGGATAGGTCTCTGATCTTGGAGTCAGAAAGGCTTGGGTTCAAATTATGTCTCTGATACTTAATACCTGTGTGACCCTGTAAAATTCACCTAACATCTCTGTTCCTCTGTTTTCTCATCTGTAAGATGAAGAGGTTGGATTAGATGGCCCATAAGGTATATTCCAGTCCTAGATATATGACCTATAAGGTCTCATCCCATGAAGACAATTTTTATTTCATTATGGTTAATGAATGTGTTTAAGATTTCTTTGCTTCTGCATTTGTGAGGTTTTTTAATGTCCTAATATAATCTTAATTTTTGTACAGGTCATTCAGTGGTGGTAAATATATACTGTCTTTCTGTTCCCCTTCATTGATAGCTAGGAGTCTATCATATTTAACTTTTCTAAAATTCTGTTCAGTTCCTTAATTTCTTTCTTGTTTATGTATTTTGTTAGTTTCTTCTAGGTTCGAAAGGGGAATTTTGATGTACCCAGTTATTATAGTATTAATGTCTGTTTCTCCCTAGAACTCATTGCCATTCGATGCATAATATTAAGTATTATCCTCTGATTCCTTTAAACATAATACAGTTTTTCTACTTATCTCTTTTAATTAAGTCCATTTTTGGTCTTGCTTTGAGATAAATGATTGCTATCTCTCCTGTTTTTGAGCCGGTAAAGCATAATAGATGTTGTTCTACTTTATTATTTTAGCTGTGAATCTTTATGTTTCAGTGGTTTTTCTTGTAAACTACATTGTTGGATTCTGCTTTTGAATCCAACTAGCTGTCCTCTTTTGTTTTGTGAGTTGAGTTCATTTCATTCACATTTGCAGTAATTTTTAACTGAATCTCTCCATCCTAGTCTCTTATGTTTTCCCCCCTCTTTAGCCTACTCCTTTCTATTTCTTTGTCAAGCCAAATATATTTCTTAACCACACTAACTCTTCTCTGTTCTGTCCTTCCTTCTTGTTTGTCTGTCCTTCCTCCTTGTCTGTATGGTCTTTAATTTTCTTCTTTTAAAATGACCAAAACATAACATAAGCACTCCCAAGACCTTTGTTGTTACTCTCTCTGACTTTTGGTCACACAGGGCCTCTGAGGGGGTACTTGTTTCTTTTTTCTCCTCAGAACTCCTGTAACTCCCCTTCCCTACTGTTTCAGCTGAGTACCTTACTTCATATTTCCCTGAAAAAATTGAAGTAATTCATTGAGAGCTCACTTTTCTTCCCTCTTCTTCATCTCACATCACTTAGATGTCTTCTGCCACTATTTCCTCCTTTGTCCCCAAAGAGAGGTGACCCCTCTCTTTGGCAAGGCAAACCCTTGAGGTGAGGGGAAAGCATTTATTAAGTGCCTACTTATGTACCATGCACTGAGCTGAGTGCTTGATAAATATCTTATTTGATTCTCACAGCAGCCCTGTGAGGTAGGTGCTATTATGAGTTCTATTTAACAATTGAGTAAACTGAGGCAGGTAGTGACTGAGTGACTTGCCCAGGGTCACATAGCTAGTAAATGTCTGAGATTGGATTTGAATTCCAGTCTTGTTGACTCTAGCCCCAGTATTCTACCCGCTGTATCACCTAGTTGCCTCTGGATACCTGTGATAACATTCCATTTTGCCTTCTCTAGCAATGACCTCTCCCCTCATCATCACTGCTGTCTCACTAATCTTCAGTCTCTCCCTATTTATTGGCTGCTTCTCTACTATATACAAACATGCTCATCTCCCTTATACTCATAAAATCCTCCCTTGATTTGGCCATCTCTACTAGCAATCATACTATCTATCTTCTCACTTTTGTGGCTAAACTTGAGAAGGTGTTCTTTGATGAATGCCTTCACTGCCTTTTCTCTCACTCTCTTCTTAACACTCAGAAGTCTGGGTTCTGAATTCATCATTCAAATGAAACTACTCTTTTCAGTTACCAGTGTTCTTTCAGTCCTCACATCTAATCATCTTTT